CATCTGCCCAGAAAAAATTTGCTATCCGACCATCTGTCTTATCTACCTGAACGGCATAAAAAAATGTAGGATCCTGTAACTGCTTGTTTCTCAGGTATTCGACCAGTGTCTGTACATCATTGGCTTCTAAGTACTTTCTGCGCTCGCGTCCAATCTCATTATTGCAATCCATTTTTGCGAATGGCACTTTGTCGGCTCCTCCATAAAACTGCTTCATGAACTCATACACCTGGGCTGGCTTCATCCCGGCTTCTCGTATCTGGCCAATTAGCATCATGTCTGCTTCAGTGACACGCCGTTGGGATCTCAGCTTATGCAACTTATCTGGACTAGCAAGATAATGATTATGTTCAGTTACAATCTTTTGCACTGTCCAAATCCCCTCTCTGCTGACACTAAACTGAACACGAGCATCACAACCCGTCCTTGTAGTGTCTTTTGATGACTCGGTTTGCCGATGTCCTTGGCTACTGCAAACTATATATTTCTGAGATATACTACCATCCACTCAACGCTTTGTATTGCTCTTTCTAACACTGAACCCAACCTTACCGGCATATGTGTTATACATCTCAAAGGCTTCTTCCTCTGATTCAAAATTCATTCCAACTTCAGGAGTGATCCCAACTTTATCTGCCACCTGTTGTAAAATGAGATGATGATTAATTATTCAGTCATGTTATGCATGATCGTACCAAAATAGATGAGTAACATGCGATGTTTCTGCATTATCGTATAAATGAACATGCGATGACCCTACCTGTGATGGCTGCTCTCTGTCGACTCCATGACCACCATCAACGATTACATCATCCTCATGCGCTTCTGAGGTTGACTGCTGTGAGCCTGTATCATGCGCTTTGTTGATTTATTTCTTCTTTGTGTTCATAGTTTGGAAGGAGCTGGAGAAGGAGAACAGGGAGTTCTTCGAGACGTACAAGAAGGATTCGCCGGGAGAAGAGTCGACGCAGAAGAATCCATCTGAGAAGAAGCCTTCCACTCCCAAGAGCTCAGAGCCTCAGACGACGACGGGCAGATGGAGGAGGAGGCGGCGTGGTGTTCGAGCCTCGACGGCGCTGGTCCGCCGGGCCAGATGGAGGTGGCGGCGGCAGCGGCCCAGATTGGAATAGGCGGCGGCGGCAGTGCGTTGCCAGAACCCAAACCCTCGGCCGCGCCTATTCCAACTCGCTGCCTCGCGATGCCAAGCCATGCATGCAGATGCGCGAGGAGCCACGCAAGCGAGCCGTTCGGAGCTGCTAGGAGCTTCCCAGACGCGCGACCGTCAGATTTCCCTGCGCCTCCACGCGTCGACCGGGCGGAAGGGTGGGCACCGGATGCGCTTTGCATCCGGGCAGCACCGAATTTTGTTCCATGCTTCCAGACACCATCTCGGTGCCTCTCCAGAGAAATGAAGGCTGGGCTCCGGACACCATCTCGGTGCCTCTCCAGAGAAACGCGCGCCGCCGCTTGTCAATGCATTTGATCACCCACGGGGAAAGGGTCACAGCGATGGCCGCGTGGATGGGTATAGCTGATAATTTCACTTTGGTGAGCACGGTGCGACCAGCCCGATTGATCGAGATGCCCTGCCATCCAAGTTGGCAGTCCACAGCTGATCTTGTCGATAAGCGGCTGCAGCAACTTCGGTAATGCAAGTGGGATTCCCAGGTAAGTGCATGTGAAGGGCTGAAGATGAGCAGGGAAATAACGGACAAGAGTTACTGAATCCTCCAGCCCACACTGAATCGGAGAGATCAAGCACTTCTCTTTGTTGGATAGGAGGCCAGACGTGCCACCAAAAATATCAAGGATGGTGCTAACGGTGACGAGGTCCTGCTGGCTCGGGGAAACAAACAGGACCACGTCGTCGTCTGCATAAAATTAAAGAACACCCTCTCCTTGATGCAGGGATCCTCGAAGCTGAGCAGCAGACCCTCGAGAGCGTTGCCACACGCAGAAGACCATTCAAGGCCTCCATGACAATGACAAAAAGCAAGGGGGATAGGGGGCCACCTTGACGGAGGCCACGCGCATGGCAAATACGCTGTCCCGGAGACCCGTTAAGCACCACCTTGGTGCTAGCAGAGGACAGCAACATACTAATCCAGTTCAGCCAACGTCTGGAGAAGCCCATGAACTCCAAGATGCAGAGGAGGAAACACCGGTTCACAGTGTCAAATGCCTTAGCGATATAGCACAGGGACGCTTGCGGCAGTGAAGTCGCTTGGCTGTGAGCTGCACCGCCTTGAAGTTGTCGTGGATCAGACGGCCACGAATGAACGCGCTCTGGTTGTCACGCACAAGCTCTGGTCGCTCCGTCCTAATCCATGGTTGTAGTATTTGTCCCTGATGAAACGTGGGCCCCACTTTGTCAGTTCGGAAACGTTGTGGCCTCGGGGGAACAAATGAAAATACGAGCATCGGGTTGCTAAGGTCGTCCACCGCTTAATAACTGCTGAGTTGGATGATCTCGTTCGCGCCACTTGAATTATGGCTAGTTGCACATTTCATCTTGTTTATTAGTTGTACATTTTTCTGCCAATTTCCGTTTGCACAAAAGGTATTCTTGTTTAGCGTTTACTACTAGTAGTAGTCCTATACAACTGAATTAGTTGCACAGTACCACGAAAAATATTAAAATAATTTCACACTTAGACTTTTACATTATTTTACATTGCATACATTTTCACATTTTACCTAGGTTTCTGACTTCGCACTGCAAAGCTTGCAATACTGAATCTGGACTTGAATGGCAAAAGGGCGTTGGTTCCATCTCGTTCACTTGCATACAGCTTACACCCTGATTTTACTGTTGCTGTTGCGAATATATAACATGATCTGTTTGCTTCATCGACTATTTGCACCATGTTCTTATTGTCACGCTGGCCCAAGTAGATGGACTTTGGTAGTTTGAACTTACACTATTTGTTTCTTTATTGGGTGTCTATTGTTAGGCACTGTTTGGATCCAAGTGCTAATGGATGAAAGTGCTAAACTATACCACTAGCCCATTCAAACGGGAGTGCTAATGGTTGGTGCTAAACTTTCGCCAAGACTCAAATACATTAGCTATGAAATAAGCGCTAATGGGTGCTAACCCCCCCCAAACGTATCGACCCCCGACTACATCAACCCCTCAACTACAAAACCGGGTTTTTAACCCCCTAACCTTTGCAAAACCGTTTAAACTACCCCTAAGGTGGTTTTGCATAGTGGTTTTGCCATGCTAGCGCACTGAGTTGGACTAGGGTGCTGACATGGACCGGCTGACACGTGGGTCCTGCTTGTAAGTGAGAACGTCATAATCCTTCTCACCTTCTTCCTCCTTCAGACGCCCCTACGTCGACGTCCCTCGCCGCCGCCGTGCCATTCACCTGAGCTCCGAGCCCCGCCACACGGCATCAGCGTGCCTAGTCCGAGCCGGTCGTGGCCCCCACCTTTGGCCACGCCACGACCCACCCCTCCCCACTGAACTCTGGCCTGCCCCAACACCGCCGCGCCATGGCCCTCGAGCCCAAGTTGCTGCGCGCCTCCTAGTCGCGTACCTGCTGCCTGCTGGACCCCTGCCACCTTCCCCTCCAATCCAAGGAAGTGCCCATAGGGCCGTCCGCCATTGTCTTGCTAAGCCCGCTCGACGTCCCCGCATGGCCACCGTCTTGCTGAGCCCGCTTGACGTCCTCACGTGGCCACCGTCGTCCTTCGTGGCGGGTCACCGTCGAGCCTCACCAGTTAATAGAGCATTGCCATCTTCGCTCCTTCCCTCATCCACGCTCGAGCTTGCCTCCACTCAACCTCCTAGTGTTGTCGCACGAGCCCCTGAGCCCCCTCCCGAACCGTAACCCCTGCGAGCCGTCACCGGCCTTGGGCTAGCCAAGCCACCGCCGCTGCCATGTGCATATGCTTCAACATTTGCAGATGCCCCCTTGGAAGCAAAGAAATCCAAACCCTAAAGTTTGTGTCTTGTAAATCTTGCACAAAACACCCTATGAAGAACCCTAACTTTGAGATCCAGTTCAAATCAATCATGGACAAGTGGGACCCATGTGTCAGTTGGTCCACATCAGCACCCCAGTCCAACTCAACGCGCTAGCGTGGCAAAACTACTATAACCCTAAAGCTTGTGTCTTGTAAATCTTGCACAAAACACCCTATGAAGAACCCTAACTTTTAGATCCAATCCAACTCAATCATGGACAAGTGGGACCCACGTATCAGTTGGTCCATGTCAGCACCCCAGTCCAACTCAATGCGCTAGCGTGGCAAAACTACTATGCAAAACCACCCAAAGGGGTTGTTTAAATGATTTTGCACAAGATGGGGGGGGGGTTTAAAAAGCCGGTTTTTTAGTTCAGAGGGTGATGTAGTCGGAGGTCGATACTGCTAGAAGAGTGTGGAAGATGGAATAATTAGACTTGTTCAGGTATCCAGTGTTCGTACGTACTACCTCCGTCCATAAAAAAATGCAATTCTCGCTTTTCGAGGAGTCAAGCAGTTTGAACTTTGATTAAATTTATATAAAAAATACTATTCAAGATGCAAAATAAATACCATTAGATTCGTTATAGAATATATTTTCATAATAAATTTATTTGGAGACATAAATGCTAATAGTATTTAATATAAACTTGGTCAAACTTGAAATACATTGATCGGCAAGGATCCTATAATTGCATTCTTTTGCGGACGGAGGGAGTACATATAAGCAAGTACATCAGGCCTCTTCGGCCATGGGTCTCATGGGACAAATATACGGAGCTATATACAAATATACTACTAACTACTACTGCATTTCACACACCCCTTCAAACTCAAGATGGGGTTTGATCCACATTGAGCTTGTGAAGATAGAAATGATGTTGTTCCTTTGTTTAAGCTTTGGTGAAGAAGTCAGCCACTTGAAGTTCAGAAGCAACATATGTGAGATCTATCGTGGATTGTTGGCAATGGTGATGACAGTGCACAAAGTTGTATCTTTTTGTTTCTCAGTAAATCACATATCTTCAAGCCAGTACAAATTTTTCTAGCCCAAAATACCTGTACAATACCATCTGATCATATAGCACACCTACTCCGAAGAAAACACCGAAGGCAATTGCAAATATGACCTTGCTTCCAAACGGCTTTCTGTCGACAATGGACACTGGACCCACCTCTGTGGAACTGCATCGACGACCGAGTACTGATCCACACAGCTTTGGATTGCCACCGAAGCTAGAATTCTGAAATGTACCAAATTGGCCACCGGTTGGAATAGGCCCTTCCAGATCATTGTTGGAAACATTGAGTTTGGAAAGGAAGTGCAGGTTTTCCAGTGCAGCTGGGACTTCACCTGTGATGTTGTTGTTGGATAAGTCTAGCACTAGCAGGTTTGCGAGATTGCAGATGGATGGGGGGATCGGTCCCGTTAAGTTGTTGAAGCTGATATTGAGTGAAAGGAGGGATGTCACCTGACCAATATCTGAGGGAATCACACCCGTCAATTTGTTGCTGCTTAGATCTAGCGTTTTAGGGACAGTATGTATGCGGTATTGACGTGAAGGATTATTGTAAATTGGCAGGTCAAAGATCCTTGGGTCAAAATGGGCTGCGGTCTTCTCTGAAGCTAGCATTATTGTTGTTGGAATTTCCCCTGTAAGGCTGTTGTTTGATATGTCTAAAAAGGAAAGGTAGTTCAGAAAGCTGATCCAGGTTGGTATTGATCCACTGAGTCGATTTCCTTGTAGGATCAACACCTCTAATTTTGCTAGCTTTGATATCCAAAGGGGTATTTTCCCAGACAATTGGCAACTTCCAATGTCCAAAGCCTGAAGATTCTCAAAACCGTCGATGCTGTCATCATCTGGCATAGTCTCGTTTATGAAGTTAGACCCAATAAGAAGGACGGTGAGGTTCTTGCAGCTCTCAAGTATTTGAAGTGTATTTGTGATGTTTGTTAAATTGTTATAACCAATTGATAGGAAGGTGAGGGACTTCAGGTTACGAATTCTTGGTGAAAGTTGCCCATGCAATAAGTTGTTGCCAGATAGCCTTAATGCAATCAAATTTCTACAAGAGTATATGCTTTCTGGAACTGTGCCAGTGAAGCTGTTGTACAGAAGGTCTAAAATTTCAAGATTGTGTAGGGTGGAGAAGTTGACCTTGGAAATCTCTCCACTGAAGTTATTGAACTTGAGGTCAATAATTATGAGATTTGTGCAGCTGCCTAGTGATGATGGCAGCTCCCCTGACATGCTATTGCGGTCTAAACGGAGCTCCTCCAATTCCTTGAGCTGTCCTATAGAATCAGGGATACTTCCAACCAGATTGTTCCCTCCAAGATCAAGGGTTGCCAGATTTCTGAGGTTCATTATGGGTGAACCATCAAGTACACCATTCAAATAATTGTTTGGGAAAGATAGGTGCTCCAACGAGGTGGCACTGAACAGTTCATCTGGGAGTGACCCTCTGAGGTTGTTATGGCCAGCCTTGAGAACTCTGAGTGCAGAGCAATTGCCAAGCCCTTTGGGAACTGTGCTACTCAATTGGTTGTAGCTGACTTCAAGCACAGCGAAGGATGGAGATATGTTGCAGAAATGCGTTGGTATCTGCCCAGTAAAGCTGTTGTTGCTGGCATTGAGTGTGACCAGATTCACCATCACCTTCCATGTTGTCGATGTAAACTGCCCCGTAAACAAATTGCTTGAGATGTTGAGTACCTGCATAGGTTGGCGAGGTGCTAGAGATGCCAGATCATCCATGTCTCCGTCAAGCTGGTTGAAGCTGACGTCAAGGACAAGAATGCTCTTGGACGACAGCAATTCCAGCGGCAGGCCTCCGGACAGCATGTTGTTGGACAGGTTCAGGCGCAGCAGGCCGGTGAGGTTGCCAAGGGACGGCGAGATGGGCCCCTGAAGGCTCCTAGAAGACAGGGAGACATCAGTGACCGTCGTCCCATCTGAACTGCAGGCGATCCCTTCCCATTCGCAGCAGTCTGAGGCATTCCCCCACGAACTGCTTAGGCCACCGTCCCGGGACAGCTCCGAGATGGACTGGAGCAAGGAGCTCCTCTCCTGCTCGGTGCATGAGGCGGCAAGCAGGGAGATCAATGAAAGAAGCAGCATAACCAGGGTAGTAGGACCAACTGGCGACATGGCTAACCTGCTGGCTTTGCTGTGGGGGTGAAGAATGGTAATGGCTAATTCTGGCACTAGCTAGTTTATCTCTGGTATATATAGGCCCCGTTCGGCTTACCCCATATTCAATTTGTTCGGTTTCTTTTTTCAGCCCGAACGATGTTTTTCTTTCGCAACAATTCAACAAGAACAGTGTTTTTACCCAGTTGCAGTCAAAACTCGTATGAGCTTTCAAAATTTGCCACAGAAGGTATAAAATTAAAGAACGGTTAGCAGTGCACTCGCATACACACGTCACCACCACCATACCGGCCAATGCACGGCACAGTGTACGTGACGCACACGTACGGGGACCAGGCCTCCAATTTGATCCGGGCCAATTTTCGCATACACGTCACCACCACCACACCGGCCGAAGCACGGCAGAGTGTACGTGACGCACACGTAGGCAGTGTGCGAGCAAGGCGTGGAGGTGGACCAGGCCTCCAATTTGATCCGGACCAATTTTCTAATCGCGATATCGCATAAGACCAAGTATAATGGCAGGCTACAAGCCGAGGTGGAGGAGGAGGAGAGGAGAGAGAAGAGACGGGCTGTAAGCTTATAGCCAGTTTAGACACAAGAACCGAGAAACTTTGTGAGAGAAATAAGTGTACCATGTATTAATAGTGAAGAGCTAACTATTATATGAATGGGCTAAGAGAATGCTGCAAAAATCCTTAGAGCCGGCCTGCCGGCTGTATTATTAGCCTTGCTATAAACACAACTACACAAGCCGCCGGGCGGCGGCTACTGACAACCTGCTCCTGGCCCATAGCATCCATCAACCTAGCTCCATCCTTCCGTCGGGCTCGGGCCCAACCTCCACTATCAAATTAATAATTACTCTCTTAATCCCTCAAATCATAGCCCCTCGCTCCTCAAATAAAGGAAGACCTCTCCTCTCTCAATCCACTATTCTTTTCATTAGGGATTTGATTTTCTTGTTCTGCTAAAGAGAAACCTTCAAAATCCCAAAACCTGTTTTATACCTCCCCTAATAACTAGTTTTTGGTAATGCTAGAGATGCTCAGTCATGACTCCACCTGCTCTTGGACCGTAGCAAGAGAAACGTTGGACCATAACTAAACAGACCTTACTCAACAGTCTCACATCAAACATATCAATTCTAACCGGAATTGCTAACAGCTGGATCCACACCAACAGACAGCAAAGAAGTTCCTGGTAGATGCCTTAAGGCAACAGTTGGATGCAACACAATTGTGTTTGTGTAGAAGCACCTAGCTCAACTCAACCGTAGACTGCTGTAACAAAGAGCAATTGTCTGTGGCTAAACATAATACAACCATCTACCACAACAATGCTAAAGTAGTTCAAATAATCAGCATCTACAATGAACTTTAAGCTCTGTTCTAGGAAACAGTTTCCTACAAAAACGTTTCAGCAGAGCCATTTTGTTGATGAGCATATGGATAGGAAACTTGATGAATAATACCAACACGCTGAAAGAAAGTATTAAGTTTTTGATACTCTGCTCCCCAATCTGTTTGCACAGCAAGGAATTTCTTATCAAAAAGGCGCTCTACCATGTTTTGAAATTCATGGAAACACTTAAACACTTTAGATTTATGTTTCAGCAGATACACCCAAGTAAATTTGCTAAAATCATCAATAAAATTGACGTAGAAATTGTTTCTGCCAACAAACACGGGAGCTGGCCCCCAAACTTCAGAAAAGATTAACTTTAGAGGACTAGAGGATACACTTGACGACTTGGGGTATGGCAATTGGTGACTCATGCCTTGTTGGCAAGCGTCACAGACAGTCCCTTTATTCGACTCAGGAACAAACACTAAACGATGCTTTTGGAGAATCTGCTGAACGACGGACGATGATGGATGACTTAGGCGTGCATGCCATCGGGACTCTGAAACCTTGACGATAGAGGGGACGGCTTTATTTGATGTGGAACTGGACGCCGAGGGATATAGGCCGCCTTGACATCGGCCTTGATGTAGGACCTTCTCCGTGGCCCGATCCTTGATAAGAAAATGGTCAGGATAGAATTCAAGATAGACATGATTGTCAGCAGCAAGATGGTGAACAGATGCTAAGTTCTTATTTGCTCGTGGAACATGCAAAACTCTATCAAGAATAAGATTGCGATCATGGGTATGAAACAAACTATGACCAACATGGCTAATTTTCATGCCTGAACCACTAACCGTGTGCACCTGCTCATTGTCGTGGTACTTATCCCTCACCATGAGTTTCTCCAACTCACTGGTGATGTGGTCAGCCGCCCCGGTGTCGACGTACCAATTGGTATCCACGCCGTACGAGGTCATTGCAGTGGAGGCCGACTTGTTCTTCTCCTGGGCGCCGGTGAAGGTCGCATCAAAGCGCTTGAAGCAGTGGACAGCAGGGTGTCCCTCCTTGCCACAGATCCGGCAGAAGACGCCAGCCTCGAAGTTGGAGCCGCGGCCTCCCGGGCGCCCACGACCACGGCCAGCGGGAGCGTTAAAGCCCCCGCGACCACGGCCACGGCCACCATTGCCTCCACCATGGCCTCCTCCATGCGAGGCCATGTTTGTAGAAGAGCCCAAGCCTGAGCCTGAGCCATGGAGCAGATCCATGCGCTGCTCAAAGCTTGTCATCTGGGTGAAGAGTCCCCCTAGGATAATGGGCTCAACCCTTGCAGCAATAGCAGATACCAGCGGGTTGAAGTTGATGTCGAGACCCGCAAGTATATACGAGGTAATCTCCTCGTCGTCGAGCTTCTTCCCCGCGGATGCCATCTCATCCGTGAGGGCCTTCATCCGAGTAAAGTACTCGGCCACCGTTGAGGTCCCTTTCTGGGCCATAGCAAGCGCCATGCATGTGTTAATCACGCGTGCACGCGACTGGGCAGCGAACATGCCCTCGATCGCAGCCTAGGATGCAGCCGCCGTTGTAGTAGTTGTGACCTGGGACATAATCTCTCGTGACAGCAATGAAAGGAGGTAGTTAAGCACCTGCTGGTCCTTGGCGAACCAGGTGGCATACTCCGGGATGGGGACCGTCTCCGTCGGCTTGTCGACGGACTTGGGGATCTCCTTGGCTGGCGGCACGAAGGTGGGGCTGATCGTATACGCCATCTGCGCACCGTTGATAGCGGACAGGACCTGCGCCTTCCACATCTCAAAGTTGTTGCTCCCGAGCTTCTCTGTCGGCAGATAGCCGATTGAGTGAGCAGCAGGCGGCGTGGAGGAAGACGCCATCACGTAGACAGACACAGAATCGAGTAGCTCCGATTACCATGTGAAGATTAGGGTAACGTGATGCCTACTCAGGCTCATGGCTTCGTGTTATATAGGATGGGAACAGCCCCAGCGTGGCGTTACAATCTTGGCTTACAAGCAAAGAAAATGAACAACAGATTACATCCTTGATCTACTTTCTATACAAGTCACTAGATATGCTAACAACCTTCATCACCGTAACAACCAATACAACAGATAACACGAAGCCTGAAACTCATCATTTAACAAGAAGTAACTGCTTCTGATGAATTGCAGTCGTGACTGAGCAAAGTGCCACACAAGTTCACATTACCTGCATAGCTAGAACTGTCGAATGTATCAAATTGGCTACCAGTTGGAATAGGCCCTTCAAGCTCATTGCTTGAAACATTGAACACGGAAAGAAAGTGCAGTTTGTTCAATGAGGCAGGCATTGCACCAATAAGACAGTTTCTGGACAAGTCTAGTGTCTGCAGGCTTGTAAGGTTGCATAGCGATTGTGGAATCTCTCCATATAATTTGTTGGAGCTCAAATCGAGCACAATGAGTGCTTTCAACTCACCGATCTCTGGGGGGATTGCACCAGTGAGGTTGTTGCTGCCTAATTTTAGCGCTTTAGGGAAAGCACTGGGCATACTGTACTGAAGTTTACTATTATAAACAGGGAGCTCAAATACCTTATGGGCAACCTTTTCTGTTTTTAGCATTGGCGTCTCCATCAAGGCTGTTGGAATTTTCCCTGTAAGGCTATTGTTTGATATGTCTATATGGAACAGGAAGTTTAAGGTGCTGATCCAGTCTGGTATGGGTCCAGTTAGTTGATTGTCAAATAATAATAACATCTCCAGATTCGTGAGCTTCAACAACCAAGTAGGTATTTTTCCAGATAATGAACGGCTATTTATGGCAAGAACCTGAAGACTATTGAAACCATCAATTTTAACATCAGCTGGCATGGCCTCACCCATGAAGTTGTACCCAATCAACAAGGTGGTCAAGTTCCTGCAACTGCTGAGGATCTGAAGTGCACTAGTGATATTTGTTAGGGAGTTGTCAGATTGGAATGAGAGGGACTTGAGACTGATAATCCCTTCTGACAATTGGCCACTGAACTTATTCAAAGAAAGCCGCAGCGCAATTAGATTGCTGCATGAATAGATGCTCTCCGGAATAGTTCCTGTAAAGTTATTCTTTTTAGATTGGAAAGCATGGAGAAGTTGAACCTGGATAGGTCTCCACTGAACCTGTTGCGCCTGAGGCTGATGCTTTTGAGATTTGTGCAGCTTCTCAGAGTTGACGGCAGCTCCCCAGACATGTTGTTATCGTTCAAATGGATCTCCTCCAATCTCCTGATCTTACCAATAGAATCTGGGATATTGCCATGTAATTTATTCCCTCCAAGATCAAGAGTGACCAGATTTGTGAGCCTGCTGATGCCTTGAAGTGATCCTTCTAACTGATTATTTGGCTATCTGAGGTGTTCCAACAAGTTAATATTGAAGAGCTCATCTGTAAGAGTCCCACTGAGGTTATTGGGCGGCGCTGACGAAGTGTAGGCTCAAACGCAAAATTGGAACACATCCAATACCTCTGCCTATACGTGTCCTCTTCATCGGACTTGGCTACCTTGCAAGGATCGCTACAAAAGCATATGGGCACTGGAACACCACTAGACAGAGGCAATGGGTCGAAGGCATTTCCGGTCATCCGGCCATAACTATAATTTAGCCATTTTCA